CCTCGTTTCCCACCAAAGGTTTCCTCCACATCATAGGAGGGGGGGGGGTTGAGGTTTACAGGACGGCAGAGGAAGAGGCCCCTCTGATGGGAGGAAGCTGGGTGCGAGGCTTAGCACTGATCAGAGGATGACAGTTCCATGGATAGATTCAGAGGGTGACAGTACACAGAGGTTCTGTGTCAGATTTCAAAGCATTTCCCGCTGTGAAGGAGGGGATGGGGGGGCTACATTGTCACCTGGGAAAAGAGCCTGATAAAGAACACAGCGGTCAAGTGAAGGGTCAGCTCTTTATCTGGATGTAAGGTGTATTTTGTATATTACTGAGATGTAATAGAGATAAGGTCTTGAAGGTTGTGGGTTCAAGTCCCTTAAACACAGTAGGGAAGACCAGGGACAATAGTTGAGTAGGATTAGTTGCAGGGTTGCCACTTAAGGTCAGCTGGCTGGAGTGAGATTTTCAATTCGAGGCAAGTCTGTAGCCTACATGTATTTACATATATACATATATATGTAAGAGTTTTATTACCTGGTAAATAGTCTGTAGGGTGTGCAAAGTACCACAATGCTTTTGATGTAGCTAATATTAGGCTTATAATGAAAAAATTTAGATTTGATGTAAGATTTCTAGCGTGAGCGTGAGAGGCTGAAAGTGTGAGTGTCAAGCCAGACGCGTGAGAGCTGGCAACCCTGCAGTTGCTGAACGGACGTTTACCACGCAGAGAACCGCAGCTAAACGTGCCTGGGTCCTGCTAGCTAAAGGCTCCTCGCAGCAAACTCTGATGCTAATGAAATATGTCATGCTAAAAGTAAACAGGTTAACGAATAAATAGATACCAGATTCGATTCAAGAATTGTCCCCAGTCCACCCAGTTTACTGATTACACCTGTAGAAGAATAAACAGCAGTCATGCGTAAATTCTCATTAAAAGTTTAACTAAGCAACAGCAAATAATAAAAGCTGGCATTGACTTTAACTTATAAAGTGTTCTCAAGGCAGAGCCAGGGACAGAGTTCATCCCAATTGTGGGCCGAGTAGCAGCAGCCGTTCCCGGACCTGCGGACTGCAGGTTTCACGCCGAACCGTGCAGCCAGCTGATTGTGAGCGGGAGTCCTGTGGCGGCAGGGAATAATTACCGTCTCTCCACTGGGGAGGGTTTAATGGGCCTGGGGATCCCAGCCGCGCTGTGCCTGAGCGACTCGCAGTGGGGGGGGGGGTGCGCGTAAGGAGTGGGCGGTCTCACACATGCAGTGTGGGAGGTGGTGCCTGCCTGAGACGGGGGTCTACAAAGATATCGGGAGTCAAATAAAAGTGCAGAAGTAGTGCAGCAAACATGTCTTTCCACAATTATAACAGGACGAAGCAGGCTGAGTTAAGTGTTACTTATTAATAGCTGGGTTTGGGCGATCAGGATGGGAGGGGGCGTGCCTTGTACCCCCCCCCCCCTGCTCGTACAGCGCTGTAATGAGAGCAAGGCTCGTTTGTGAGTCTGAAAGGCACCGAGGCTGCCAGCCCGGAACGTCACTCCTGCGCTGTCTAAGAATAGCTTTTCCCTTTTTTTTAATCGCCATGAGAATTCCGTGTTCCGTGTCACTGGGATCAACATGGATGAGATGCTTTGGCGGACACACACACAGGCCAGGAATATCAAACGCACCCAGATTCTGGGTTTACAAGCAGTGCTGTTACTCCCCTGGGGGAGGGGGGCATTTGGGGATGTTGGGTGGGCACCGGAGGGGGGGGACCAAGATGGTTTTATTGAATCACTAATGATTGGCTAAATTGGATCTGATCCGTTTGTAGCCACGCCTGTTTACAGGGCTCATTTTTGGGCCTGTACTACACAGCTCCTATCACGTGGACCAAACAGTTATAATTAATATATTGAATAAGACTTACCTGCGTATTAATGTTTCACATGTGTGGGGCATACGGTGACCGACTTGGAGACGGTTCTGATCCACATAAGTACTGGTGTGAAGTTCTCACCATATGAGACATGCCCACACTCTCCTTGACTGCCCAGCAGTGCACAGGTGGCCCGGACTTGCCGGATACAGTTATTTTAACACAGGTATCACAATGTTCTCTCTGCCGATGTCCTTGCTATCTCTAGATATCTCTCTCTCTAGGTAAGGCCATGAACATCAATGCCTTAGGACATCAATGTCTTATCATGGTACGCCAACTTTATTTTGAACTGATATGGTACAAGGGTACTTCAATAGCCCCCCCTCTGAACCCCCAGTGCCCCCTAGTTAGGTCACCCCACCACCACTACCACCTACGTCAGCAGTAGTAGTTCAGGAAGTACATCTCTGCTCTGGCCAATCAGATGCATGCTCACTGGTGGGACCTCCCACTGTACACATTATGCTCCGCCCCACTATGTATGTCAGACTCAGCTGCTAATTAGTTGTCTAATTGTTTATTCGGACCAAGCCAGCAGCATAACTATGTGAGGGCTCCCAGATAAGGACAGTGACATACAGTATTGCGTGCTGCTCCATGCTAACAGGAACCCTAAACTGCTGCTGGTGACCCTCCATGTTCAAGCAGCTTGTTAGCTTCAGCTGGCCCTTTAACCCACCACTGGGGCTTCCCTCATTTGTTGTTGTTGTTGTTGTCATCGTAGGCTTTCTAATTGGCCGGGTCGTGCAGCTAAATCGCTGCTGCAGTTTTCTCGTTTGCCATGGGGGTTAAACTGATGTGAATCAAAGCCACTCAAAGAATGAACAGCGCGGTTCCTCAGAAACGGCGGCAGGAGAGCTGAGCTGCAGGGGGCACTTAAAAAACTTCTCGGGGGGGGGGGGGGGATCCTCACATTAGCCAGAAGCTACGAGTTAGTAACAGTTAGCGAAAGGATAGAGAGTGAAACGCTGCTTCTGTTGCCGGATCAAAGGCTCTAGGTCTGTGTTTTCTGTTCCTGTCTGAAACCGACAGGTACAGAGCTGGCATCCAGTTCAAAGCCCCTGATTAGGTTGGACTTGGGCTCGGCCCTCGCCGAGACTCTCCTGATCAGGTTGGACATGGGCTCGGCCCTCGCCGAGACTCTCCTGATCAGGTTGGACATGGGCTCGGCCCTCGCCGAGACTCTCCTGATCAGGTTGGACATGGGCTCGGCCCTCGCCGAGACTCTTCTGATCAGGTTGGACATGGGCTCGGCCCTCGCTGAGGCTTCCCTGATCAGGATGGACATGGGTATGCCCCCTGACCAGCCCCTGTTGTGGGGGGAACTTTTGACGAGCCTAGAGGGTGATGGTCCTCTCTCTAGTCCATTGACTTCTCAGTGTTGCTCCTTCAGACTCAGCGTAACCATGCTTCCCTTTCTCCTTTGGGTTCATTTAAGTTCCAACTGGTCCACCACCCCTGCAATGTAGTCCAGAAGCCCAAAACCTTTGGTCCAAACCCCACTACACTATGGTCCAGAACCCCCAAATCCCCTTACACTTGAGTCCAAACCCCCTTGGCACTGTGCTCCAGACACTCCCACCCCCACACTGCAATCTAGACCTCCCCTACATTGAGATCCAGGCCCCCTCCCCACTGTGGTCTAGACCCCCCACCCATGCACTACAGTCCAGACCTCCCCTACACTAAGGTCCAGACCTCCTCCCCACTGCAGTCCAAACCCCCCATCCCTGCACTGCAGTAGAGACCCCCCTGCACTGAAGTACAGACACCAACCCCTGCACTTTGGTCCATCACCCCTCCCACACAGGGTGGTCCAGACCGCCCCCCCCCCCCGCACTGCAGTCCTGACCCCACCCTCAACACTCTGCGGTCCATACCCCCCATCCTTACTAGGTCGCTCTAGTTTCTTTCTTGTTGCTGTCCTCCTTTTTCCGTGGCCTGCCTGATAAGCACTGACCGCTCGCCAGACCCGGGGTGCTGTGTGACCTCACTAGTGGCCTCCCTGCCCTCACTCACTCACACGGTTACACTCAGGCCACCGCGAGGACACATGCCCTGTGTCCCTTCTCACCTCGTCATTTTCCTCGAGCACTGTGTCCTGCAGGCATACAAACCTTGCATGTACTCGCCTACATTTTCACTGCGACTCAGATACATGTCCAGCAGATTGATGCGGCATCTTCTGACAGAGGTCCTGCTTCATCCATCTGCTCCCGCTTGCCGTCTTTGCCTCGAGCATCAGTGCATCTCTGTCGCTGTGACTACACACTACGCTGGGTGCTATTGCGGCTTGTAGAGTGAAATGAAGACTTTGTGGCTGCAAGACTTTCTCCTTAGGAAATGAGGATGCTCTGATGTTGCTTGGCAGTGCTTACATACTCTCCCCAGTTACTCTACCCAGTTACACTCCCCAGTTTCACTCCTCGGTTACTCTGCAATAATGTGACATTCACAGGTCGATGATTCAGTAATAATCCTGGTTCTCCTTCCCATCTGAAGATGTGTCGGGCCTTAAACAATCACACGCTTCATTCACCAATGAACGTTATCACATTAAATAATAGTAGGTCTCACACTGAGTTTATTCCACGGTCATTTTTTCCTGTAGTCATTTTTTACCTTAAATGTGGAAGACATTATCACCAGATTATCAAACCAGGGCCTATACTGGTAGTTCCCCAGTTCTCCCATAGTGCAGTTCTGCAATAGCCTGCCTTCACTTACAGGCCCCCTCTGGATCGCTGTAGCCATAATTAAATTGGGTTCTTACTGGAACGAGTGGAGTCCAGCTAATTAAACCTGAAACGGCAGGTGCGCAGATGAAGTTAAGTAATTAGACCGTCAACGCAAAAGCTGCAGGTTAAAACTCAGGGAGTTTCCAGCCCTTAATGTGATTCGCCTGAATAATCTGTTTAAATGAATAAAAAACATGTCAATTTATGAAAATTTCTAAGAACAGAAATGTCCTCCAAGCAGATCATAATTGTAATCATTGTAACTGTTGCATAAGCGGAACAGAGGAAGCTGGACATGTGACCTCTTTCCTGTTGCCACTCTGACATGCTCTGTCTTCCATTGCTCCCCGCAGCCCTGCACGAGTTCCCCACAGACCTCTTCTCGCACAAGGAGCGCACAGAGGGAGCCGTGGCATTGCACGTCCTGGGTGTGAGTCTTCCTTCCCTCCCACCTCTCTCCGTTCATGCATGTCCCCCACAGGGCGGCCATGAGAAGGACGACCCCATAGAGGCTTCCGGGCACAGAGACGGTGCAGCCAGCAGTCCGAGAGGGAAACTAATAGCAGAGAAGTATCTTACTGTCTGCATTATAAAGTGCTTTGGTTTGTCTAAACCGGTGTTTCTCAGCCCTGTCCTCAGGGCTCCCCAGACAGCCCACATTCCCAGCACAACAGTAGCAGGTATTCAGTGTTCTTCATTGTTTGGTTTGTTCTTCATTGTTTGGTTTGTCCTTCATTGTTTGGTTTGTCCTTCATTGTTTGGTTTGTTCTTCATTGTTTGGTTTGTTCTTCATTGTTTGGTTTGTTTTTCATTGTTTGGTTTGTTCTTCATTGTTTGGTTTCTTCTAAAATGTTTTTAGTGACCAGGGTTGGGGGTTCCCCCTAGTTACATTTCACCAAACGGGGGGACAGATGCAGAATTGGCTGAGAGCTCAGAATCGTAATTTTCCTAACTGTCTGATCAGTAGCAAATAAATTTTATTACATGGGTACGTGTCTGTGACTGGCTGGGGAACCCAGAGGGCCAAGCTGAGAAACACTGGTCTAAACTCATCTGGAGCATGACTTTGGGCTGCTTGGAGATCCAGATGGGAGACAGAACATTTCTGGAGAAATGCCATCTGCATGGGCAGCAGCTAGATGACACCTAATGATGACAAACTCATCGTGGCATCATTTCACGTTTTCAGTTCCTGCTATTGCTAATTCTGCAAATGACCTGTTAAACAAACAGCTCCTTCACGAGCGTCTGTATTTATCAGACGTGATGCTCCTCATGGTGACTGACATTGGATAAGCTCCAGGAAATGCAGGCGTATGTGAATGTTTTACCACAGGAAAATCAGAGATCCGTATGCTGAGATCAGAATTAGAATCAGAATCTTGATTGGTCACCAAGGGCCAAGTGTCAGCAGAAAGAGATATACAAGGTAACAGATATGCAAGACATAAATAAAAACATAAATAGATTATACACAAGCAATCTGCAAGTAGAAACGCCTCTGGGACCAGGGTTCGAGTCTCTGCCATGCCTCCATGTGTGTGTGGAGTTTGCATGTTCTCCCCGTGTCGTCCTGGGGTTTCCCCCAGGTACTCTAGTTCCCCCCGCCCCAGTACCAGAACATGGTGTGGTTAATTGGAGTTACCAAATTGTGTGTGGCACTTGTGTGCCCTGCGATGGGTTGGCGCCCCATCCTGGGCTGTTCCCTGCCTTTACGCCCACAGGCTCCAGATCTCCTGCGACTGAACAGGACAAATGGTTTCAGAAAATGGATGGAAGTTAAAGTGCAATCTGCATATGTGTGCTTCAGGAGTCTCCAACTCCGGTCCTGGAGAGCTACTATCCAGTAGGTTTTCTATCCTACCTGCCTTCTGATGACCCACACCTGCTCCTGGTATTTACCTGAGAACAGCTGTGGCTCCTCAGAAGCCGGGTATGATAGAAAACCTACTGCACAGTAACTCTCCGGGACTGGAGTTGGAGACCCCCAGTGTACTGACTGCAGTGGTGGAACTGGGGAAGGTTCTGCCACGGAAGGATTATGGCGTGACATGTGCCAGGCAGACCCTGAGTGCATTACAATGTGTGTAACAAAGAGGTTGTGCAGTATTGGCTTGGCTTTATATATGTGAATATTTCCTTATAATATTAATAAATGAATATCTCCTGTGGCTCCTGCAAAGAGAACTGGTAGCTGAGGTACTCATCTTCAGATACTTAGGTCCTCATAGAAAAAGTAGCTCAAGGAGAAAGAGTGTAAAAATAATGTAGCCTGTAACCCAAATATGCATAATTCGTGCAGGATGTAATATTTCCAGTCTGATTAGCTCCATTGTTAAGTTCTAAACTGTTTAATAGGTTAAAAAACTGTAATTTTAAAGTGCCTTTGGATTATACCCAGTGTCAGTATTTTAGTTCCATGCATCATGAAATTTCAAGTAAAATTTCTGCAGGGTTCGACAGTTTTATATTTTCAGTAGGATAAAAATAATTTAATAGGGTAAAGAAAACATAGTTTGCTGGTAACCGTCGCTAAGGAAACAGCTGCGGAGCTTCGTGGTTAAGCAGGGGGCGGCATGTGGAGTCGGCAAGGTGGGATGTAGGGGGCGCTGCTGCGCAGACAGAGGCAGACAGAGGCAGACAGAGGCAGACCGAGGCAGACAGAGGCAGACCGAGGCAGACAGAGGCAGACAGGACCCCCCCCTGACAGGAAGGAGGAAAGAGCAGCACACACCCACTCAACAACAAAACAGCAAAAACCTTGTCAGTGGTTGTTTTTTTTTTTTATTGTTTCCATTTTCAGTAAATTTTTTTCCTGAAGTGCTGAAATAGAGTCATGGGGCAGCCATTATGTGGCATCAGGTCGGGGGGTGTGAGGTTTGGGGGGATCTGGTACAAAACCTCTGACCTCCTGGTTGACTCCCTTTGTGGGTGGTGTGTGGGTCACTGCTTTGACTTTTTGCCTCTGATCAGAAGGTTGCCGGTTTGAATCTAATCCTCAGCTAAACAGTCACATGTATGTTAGGCGCTTGGGCGAGACCCTTAACCTCACAAAATGCTCCAGCGGCACTGAATGAATGTCCTGACTCTGTGCAGGGACCCCAAGGTTTGCTCCCAGCTCTGTGTGTGTGTGTGTGTGTGTGTCTCATAAATGGAGACCAAGATGGGATATGTGAAAAGAAGCATTCAAATCTACCTGTACTTGTGCAGATGGCAAATAAAGTTTCATAAAAAAAGATTCGAAAGGGAATGAAACCTTGACCGACGTCAGAGAATTAGGACTCGGCGCTGCCAGGGAGAATTCAGCGACGCTGGTAACAATTTGGGGAAAACTTTCTGGAATCCCGATAATGCAAGCAGACAAACGTATGGCAGGGTTTAGTGCATTTCAGCGAAGTGCCGCAGTGCTTTAGTGCCTGTAGTTAGGTGACTGCATTTTCCGCTAGCATTAATGGAAGAGCTTGGCGTGCGTGAACTTCAGCATAATATAATACGGCATGAATGACAGGCCTGCCTGCAGCCTGCAGCCTGCAGCCTGCAGCCGCCCCAGGACATTACGAGGGCCTGCAGGGCTGTGAGGATCCCTAGGAGTGTACCAGCACTATGTAACAAAGCCCGTCCAAATTACTCAGTCTGCCAAGCAACAGAATAACAATACATGATATTTACTTTTTTATTATGTCTAAACTAATTTCCTGAATGCAGGGACACAAGTTGTAAAAGAAAGCATACGCCCCTCTAACGCCTGATCCAATCACGTCGTCTGTTAGAGGTGGTCAAGGATATATCCCACTATCTCATTGGGTCCCGCTCCTCTCCGGGCTCAAAGCCGACCTTGTTCTGCAGGCTGTTTAATAGGGACAGGCAGCCGCATTTGTTGTGCACCAGGCCCTCCTCTGGTCGGCACGGCGACGCATTTTGTTATGTAAACGCCACGCTTTGGACGCCGTATTTCAGAAACATGAAATGTGGCACCGAGCAGCTGGGTGGTTTCTGGGGTCCCGCTGGAGCCCGGGTGCTGGAGCAAAGCGACCAGCGAGCTCGGCAGTGCCAGTGCGCCTACTGATGGCCGACGTAGGTCACTGCAGGAGGCGCTCAGAGTGCAGCCCGACCTCCTCGCGAGCGTCAGGCCATGTGATGTTCTGAGCGTGCTCAGTCTGCTCCTTCCCGCTCGCCATCGCTGAATGCCTGTCAGAGCAGATGGTCATGGTGACTTATGCCACATTAGCCGGTTGGGGGGGGGGGTTTCTGAATGACGGCTGTGGCCACTCATCCCCTCCTGTGGCAGGGAGGGGTCCCAGTTAGGGGCGAACTAACATGACTAAAGGCTCTTGCTTGCGGGCCCTACACGTTTGCACCCTGGGCCCCGGGGCCATCTGTTGCTCTGCCTGGGCTTGACCGTAACATCACACTGCAAATAGAACTGCAATTCAAAGAGCCAATGCACAGACTGACAACAAAAACACTCGCCTGAATTTTTTACGCTGGTCACATGACCGGTCCTCTCAGACTCCTGTACATACAGATGGTCTGACAGTTTGGTATCAGTGCACATTGTTTCATACTGGGCTTACTGGTACCAGCATAAGCTTTTTGCACACACTGAGATTTTCTACTTTTGCATGTTACTCACTTAATATTTACCAGAAATACACTCAATATTCTTTAACAAATAAATTTACAGTATGTCCACCATTTCAGTACCTTTATTAGCAAGAAAATGCTTGAATCATATCTTTGATTCATCAAAGTAACTTCCTTCAACAGTTATAACAGCAGAGAAAATCCAAGGCATTCTTTTCTACAAGGGACATTAAATACTGCTCTGTCTCAAGGGATGAAACAGTTAACTAGCACATTTAAGGTTAAAGGACAGCCTAGTCCAGTTAATAAAATGTCAGACATGCACTGTTACATACTCTTTCCTTGTTATAAAGGAAACTTGTATTATTTGGCTTTATATATATATTGTGTGTGTGTGTGTGTGGTAATATATATAAATCACCAGTTAGATATAGGGGATGATTAGGAGGCCAGATTTGATAGGACTACAGTGGGCAATTTTATCCAGGACATCAGGGTACCTCACATACTCTTTTGAAAGATGACCATGGACCTTATATGACCTGAGAGAGTCAAGACCTCGGACCACATGTCCCCCACAATGTAATTAAAACCCGTTATTTTGACATTCCATTTTTCAGGTCCCCACGAAGATCTGTGAATGCAATCAAAAAAGTATAAATGCCAAAAGTCTCCTATTATGGTTGCTTATGATCAACATTAGGACTGCGTAGGGGTTAAGGTCATCATGTTGTGATTAGAGTTTTCCCCATAGAAATGAATGGAGATTCCTCACAAAGATATTATGACAAACCTGTGTGTGTGTGTGTGTGTGTGTGTGTGTGATTTTATATATAAAAAAACATTTTGTATAATTGCAGATTGCAGATCATCTCACACCTTCTGGGTGGGGGTTGAATCCCTCCCCCTCCCTGTGCTGTGAAGGTTTCACCCCCATGGTCCATAAAACCCTCTAAGGTGAACTGGAGCTGTCAAACTCCCAGTAGATGGGTATGGCGTGTGTGCCCTGAGATTGGTTGGCACCCCATCCTGGGTTATTGCCTACCTTGTGCCCATAGCTTCCAGGATAGGCTCCGGACCCCCCATGAACCTGACACGTGGGTGCAGAAAATGGATGGATGGATGGTATAAAAGCATACATTCCCTGCAGTGGACCGTTATCTCATCCTAACATAGGCTCCACCCCCACCTCCACGAGCCTGTCATGTTTCACGCTTGCTAATGTACCCCTTACCCATAATGCCTTTTCCCATGTGCGCTGCTCACTTATGCTGCTCTCCCTGTCCCCAGGCCATGTACATGTTCTACGCCCTGGCCCTGGTCTGCGATGACTACTTCGTTCCCTCCCTGGAGAAGATCAGCGAGGTAAATTGAACCCTGAGCTGGCACCTCACTGCGGCTTAACAAAGTGGGGGGGGGGGGAGCAAAAGTGGGGGCTGATTGGCTCACGGTCTGCTGCTACCTGGTCGTCAGTTGTGGTAGGACTGCTTAATCACCATGCTAAAGGAAAGTGTTGCATGCTGGGAGAACTAGTGCCATTGGAACAGCTAATCTACAGCGAACAGCTGTCTGCACTTCAATTAGCCACCAGCTGTCAGCAAGCTCGTTACGGAGTCCGGGGACTTTGTTTCTCCACTGAAAAGACATAGATAGACGGATGTTCATTCCTCCACTTAATCAGTGATCACACAATCATTCCCAGCCCACGAACAATTAAGTAGCCAAAGATGGATCGATCTATATTAATTTTTGAGTTGATTTATTTTGCGCAAACATAATTTCACCATTATGGCAGGTAGGTCACTGCTCAGCTGACGGCAAATTGTTTTAACGCGGATGAAAAATTATTGCTGGCCGTCGACTAATGAAATTCGGTCGGTTTAATGTGTTTGGAATCGTGGATTAATTAAAGCAATGGCTCAATCAACTTGAATTAATTAACAGCTGAGAGTGGGGGGGAAAGCAGCATGCACAAGTGGTGGTCTGGATTGGAGCTGGGTGTCGTGAGGGTTCATTGCAGTGCAGCCATCTTCTCACACGTTTGGAGAGACATCCATTTCGGTTAGCGGTGCTAGCAGCTGCGTAGCGTAGCACCGAGACCCCGCAGGGCTGCTCTGATACTCTTCCCCCATCTCCACCCACAGCGCCTGCAGCTCAGCGAGGATGTGGCGGGGGCTACCTTTATGGCCGCCGGCAGCTCCGCCCCCGAGCTCTTCACCTCCGTCATCGGTGACAATCTTCCACTGCTACTTTAGCATTAGCGACGTTAGCATGCCGACGAGACACAGCTAACTTCGCTCCCAGAGGCTGATACGGCATGAAGATGATGCTTACAGAACATTGAACCTCTTCACAGCTTTGTAGGATAATTTAAGAAAGCAGCCACATAGTAAATCATACACTTTAAGCTAAGAATTTTATTTACCAAAACCGTACAAAGTGTCTGCTGTCCTGCTCTTGTAGATGTGGGAGAACATCACGTGTACAGCAAGGTTTTGAACCCTCTTTGATGTCCACCCCGCAGGTGTTTTCATCACCAAGGGTGACGTTGGCGTGGGAACCATCGTGGGCTCAGCAGTCTTCAACGTCCTCTGCATCATTGGGGTGTGTGGCATCTTTGCAGGCCAGGTAAGACAGCCATCTTTGGCATCAGGCTTATAGAGTCATGCTAAAGCCTTGCATTCATTGCCAAGTGGGAGTAGGAGGAATGTAGCTCCACTCTTCACCGGAGGCATCGGACGGGAGGCATTGGAGACCTCTCTCAGAGATGTGTCAGATGTATCGTGGCTCCTCCCTCCCTCGAAATTGCTTGCTCATCAGAGCCTAGACCCAACCGCCAAAACTAGACTTTGGATGCTGCAGGGCTTGACAGGTCAACTTGACAAAAGGATTCCCTTGAGGTGAGGTCATAGCATCTTTGTTATTGCTGCCTTAAAGCCAATCTGGTTTACGAAACTTAATAGCTTCTTTCTTTCCATCTTTATTTTGTCTCCCTGTTTGAATTCTATCGTGTATTGTGGCATTTGGAGGTTTGATACAGACACACTTCCCATACTGCCTGGGACAAATTTTATGAAATCCCTCCCGAAATCCATGTGTCAGATCAGACAGGCACCAATTAGATGACTTTGGTCCTAATACTTAGCCTGCAGCACCTAACTCAGTGTACTGATCCCCACCAAGATGCAGGTTGCATACAGTGGGATGGCCAGCAAACAAACCCAATGAACCAGCCTGGTAAATTCCCTGATCTGGGGTAGGATTAGTGGGGTTAGATCCATGATTCCTGGTTCTCTTTATGGATCACACACACTGGTGTGTCCTTTCTGGTCTGGCTGCTGTGACCCGCATCCCCGCAACCTCAACATCGACGCAGGTGTTTTCGGTGCTCGTGGTAGTTTTACTTACAACAAAATTTTCTAAGGACAGAAAGAAAACTGATTGGTTCAGAGAGATAACTAATCAGATTGTAGAGGAGGAGGGCCCAAGCAACTAGAAGAGGCGGGACTAAGACATCTGATTGGTTTGTTCCACCTCCTCCAGTTGTTTGGACCCACCTCCTATACAATCTGACTGAACTCTGAACCAACCATTTTTATTTCTGCGCTCAGAACATTTTTGTGTATATAAAACTCCCATGAGCATTTTCAGCATCTCTCCATCTTCCCAGGGTACGCTGCCTCACTGGATTATTACTTCGTTCTGGTTTATTCCCTGCGCCTGGCTTGCACCGGCCTCGGGTCTCGGGATCCTCGCGCTGTATACGAAAGGCTAAGCCTCTGAATAAATAAGATAACTCAGATGGCATCCCTCAGGCTGTACTCCATATGCAAAGAGTCAACGATAAGCTGACCAAAATGGATTCAAAGTAGTAATTGAATACAGATTACACATTATGTAAGGATTGAGGGCCTGCCAGAAGTATATTAAACTGCTCTAATACTATTAGGGTTTCTTTATGATTTATTTAAGAGCCATAAAGGGCCACTATTGTTGTATTAATAATAATGCGGGTCACATAAATGCAGAGGAGGCTTTGCATAACAGGGGAACTGAGAGTGAGGAAAGTGGGAACTTAGGGGAGGTTTAGGGCCATGGTAGTGTCACTGCGCTCGCACCGAGCCCAAATCTGTCTCTCCAATGGGACGGCGCTCCGACACCACGCTCCCGAGTGGCTTCAGCGTGCTGTATAAATATCACCCCGGCAATTATAAACAATCAGACGGCATTCAGAGGGTAATTTGTGCGGAGCACTTCCTAGATTGCGACACAGAAGTGATTGCGTGAAATTAAAAGCAGAAGGGATTTAAAGGCACCCCCACTGAGCTCCGCGGTCTGGGGTGTAGGAGGATGATGGACAGGGGGAACGAGGAGGGGGCTGTGATGAGGGGGGGGGGGGGGGGGGGGGGGGGGGGGGGGGGGGGGGGGGGGGGGGGGGGGGGGGTGGAGGGAGGTGACCTGCTTGTCAGGGCCAATAGGGGAGAAAAAGGGGGTTTCTTGCCCATGACTGTCCAATCTGGGTGGGGGGGCAGCAGTGAAACTTGGCGGAATGAGGTAACTGTCCTACGCGATCATCTTCGTTATTTTAGTAGTTGTGTCATTAGGTGGTAACTTTTAATATTATTAAAGTTAAATATTGGCTGGCAATATCAGTCGAGACTGACACATCAGAGCATTGCCAATATCTTGATATTTAACGGATATTCGGTCGACCGGCATACAGATTTTGAGTTGTCATACATTTGGGGGGGGGGGGGGGTGTACACCAGCCAAGGCTGCGCAGACCAGCAGAAACTTCGGACCCGCTTGTTTGGATGCAGACCGACTGCCGGTGAGACAGTGATGGTTTCCAAGGAAACGAGAGTGATTGGAATTCCAGCTGTCAGCAGATGCTGGACAGAATGCTGCTATCTGGCGCCTGGTGGAAATGCCACGGTGGGGGTGTGGGGGGGGGGGGGCATGGGCCAGAGAGAGAGATTAGGTGGGATTAGAGCAGAGGCCCATGTAAGTGGAAATTTTAAGACTCTATTAAGTGCAGCACGCTGTAATCTCAGCGGCAAATAAGCGACAGCGTGGCGTAGTATTTTGCCCTGTGCTGGGTAAGCAGAACTGGGGGGCCATGGAAATGTAGCTCTCTTTAGTTATTAAGTGCTTTGATTGGCAGGGGCACAGCCAGCCACTAATGCTAATCAAAAGCGCAGATGCTAATGCTCCGTCTTACGCAGCGACTCAACATCGCTTATAGCTGATAACAGAAGTTACCTTCATAAATGCTCCGGAGGATCGACGCCGGCCCAAACTCCAGCATGCCTGTGTCGGGTTCAGATTGGAAACAGGCTGAGTTTTCTCATTGGAGATGCCCCAAAGGTTACAGAGGGATTACGGGCCTACTGAGGCACGCTTCAGTAAGCCTGCTAAGGGCCTCGTTAACAGTCAAAAGTAGCACTTTGAGTCTGGCCTAGAGTTTGACAGCTACCTGGGCCAGGTGGGATGTCAGATCTCCAGGTTTTAATGGGGATTCTTGCAGGTAGAATTTGTACCCATTAGTTCAGAGAGAGCCTGTTTTTACCTTCCTGTGTCATATGGTGGGGTTACTGGTTTTTACTGTTGTTTAGTCTTTCGCTTTGCCAAGAATGACCAGAACTACAGGACAGCCTATTGCAAAGGCCCCGTGTCTTTACACAGAATCATAAAGTCGATGTTGATGTTTCATAACATTTTTGGGAGGCTACATTTTAGCAGTTTAGCCTATGGGGAACCCCTATTATAAAATATGCCCCCCTTGGTCTGCCCATCCACCTTTTAAATTATAAGTGAAATGCAGGCCAAACACCATTAGAAGCCTTGGGTGGAGGATAAGATGGCCTCTTAAGACCTTGTGACCTCTCCTTGGCCCCCGCCAGGCCGTGCGGCTCTCCAAGTGGACGCTGATGAGGGACTCTGCCTTCTACACGCTGTCCGTGGCAGCTCTCATCGCGGTGAGTCTCACTCTGACACCTCCTCTCTCCCCCCGCCGTCTCCGCTCTCCGTCTGCGTGTCCCTCCCTTGTTTACTTGCCCTTCGGACCTGCCCTGCGTCCCTCGGACACACTAGATCCTATCTTCTTTAGAACCTGAGGCATTTAAAATCTGTTGCCCTTTCAAACACCTGGAGCTAATCTGGGAAACACCTCTGTATGACATATAACTGAACTTGCGTAAGTTGGAAGCTCATTCCCTTGACTTGAATGAGTTACAGTTGCAATGTGCTGTTCAATGGGCTTATTTTGCAATTCAATAACCAAAATTAAATCCACTGTCCTGTCACTGTCAGTAGACCTAGACTGTATCCACACGTTGGTGTTTATGTGTCAGTGCAGAGTGCTAATGACGCACATGGGCAAAGAGCTGAAGGTAGAGCTGCCGCTGTAAAGTTCACCTGAAGAGGCTCAGGGTGCATTTTTCTGTCATCCCATCACTGCTTCACCAGCTGGGAATATCCCCCCCTTCCCATCCTCCATCCATCCATCCATCCATCCATTTTTCAGCCCTTTATCCAGTACAAGGTCGCATGTCAAAATTGCCCATAGTTTATGAGTGTGTACAGTGCTCTTCAAACATCTCAGGCAGTCAAAGGAATTGATGTTTAAATGATCCTGATATTGGTGTAAAATTGTGATATTATGTCTGTTAAAGTGTGTCAGCTTAAGAGTTACGAAACCTCTCCTAAAGTCACCGCAGTATTTGCAGCAACCATCTAAAACACCCATGCATTTGTTGACTCGACCGCTAACACACCATGTTTGGCTAACCAATACTCCATCTAGTTACTTTACTGATTACAGTAATTAATTAACTGAGCTGTTGGTTGAAACTTAACAATGCAATGGCTGAGGTGCCCCTGAGGAGAGGTTTGGGAACCAAAGCGGTGTTCATCTATCCAAGGTGGTTTTCAGCCATCCAAGGTGGTGTTCATCTATCCAATGTGGTGTTCATCTATCCAAGGTGGTGTTCATCTATCCAAGGTGGTGTTCATCTATCCAAGGTGGTGTTTAGCCATCCAAGGTGGTGTTCATCTATCCAATGTGGTGTTCATCTATCCAAGGTGGTGTTCATCTATCCAAGGGGGTGTTTAGCCATCCAAGGTGGTGTTCATCTATCCAAGGTGGTGTTCATCTATCCAAGGTGGTGTTCAGCCATCCAACGAGATATCTGTACCGTTTTGGAGAACAGAAGAAATTCTTATTCATTTTTATTGTGTCACTGCACTATTTATATATGTTCTAAAGTGATTTTTATTTCTGAGAAAATGCACATTTTCTATGCTGTTTAATTCTATGCTTTAAACATTTTCTTTGACTGGCTAAAACTTTTGCACAGTACTGTATGTGTATATCTCTGCCCTGTGTATTGGGATAGGTGCCAAACCTTGCTTAAGAGGCTGCCAATTCAGACATATAACATGTACAGAGCCCTGTATCCTTTAACGCTGTAACAAGGGAAAGTAGCTGGTGGCTGATTGTAATCTTCTCATTGAAAAAAATCACATGACAATATGGCATCTAATGTGCTCGTATGTTGTGTGATTAATTACATTTTTATAAGCAACTGCATGTCATGTTTAGCTCCAGCAGCAAAGGTGGTTAGAAGAATTCAAAATAGCAAAAGAGGATATATATTTGAAACACTAGCTTAGCATTACATTAGCTTAGCATCACATTAGCTTTGCATTACATTATCTTAGCATTACATTAGCATTTCGAGATTCATTGGTGGATGACATCCATCTTGATTTTTGCCATCATTATGTTAAGAAAGTGGAAAGCTGTCCTTTGCAGTCTGTTTACAAGTGATACAGTTAAGTGTATTGACTGTGTTAAGGGAAGCTTTTTATTTTATGATTTATGATTTGTCAAGTTAAATATATCGGTGCCATCGGTGGCAGAGAGAGTCAGCACCTAGTGCAGTGATGTCTGCTGTTTACTGGGTTGTATGCCAACTGTGCCGTGCTGCCTCCCTGATTACTGAAGGGCCGGCCGGGATGCTCATGCGAGGCCTCTTCAGGCCGGCGAATCAGCAGAGCGGACGCATAAGGGCCTGCCACCCGTTCACTAAATCAGCCCCTTTAATCAGCCCTGGCAAAGGCATCCCGTACAGAAAGTCCCGACAGTGTGTCCGGGGGATTTGGCGGCCAGTTCTGATTGGTCACCCCGTGGGATTTTGGTGCAGATGACGGGTTCAGTGGCGGGTTCTGTCATCAAATCCTGAGCCCATAAAACGCCTGCAGGAGTCCTGTTCGAGGTGTAAGGATCACAGGTTATGCTCTTTTATGGGACCCTCAAGACAAGAAGAGCCACAGAAACACATCTACATATTATGTTTGAGGGATAGAGTGTGGATAGAGTCCCAGGGATAGAGTGTGGAAGCGTGAAAATAGCTAATTAATGGAGGTAAACATAAATGAACGGGTTTGCTGCAGTTATCATAAATGATTAAGCATTTTTTTCCATTGCCTTATAGAAAAATAGAGGTATTTGCTCATATATAACCAAAAAGAAAACTTCTTATCTTTTAAATGAGTTCTTTAATTGGTAATAATATGTTTAGGTAGCATGGCAGCACAGTGGTCAGCCCAGTCATCTCATACCTCTGGGACCAGCGTTTGAGTCTCTGCAGTGCCTCTATGTGTGTGGAGTTTGCATGTTCTCCCCGTGTCGTTGTGGGGTTTCCTCCAAATACTCCAGTCTGCCCTCCCTCCCCACTGTCCAAGAAATGCTGAGGTGCGCTCTGAGATGGGTGGGGGTCCAGACCCCCACAGCCCTGAACAGGGCAAGCAGGTTTGGATGGATGGATGGATGGATGGATGGATGGATGGATATGTGCCTTAAAGGGAATAATTTGTAAATCGAAAAACAGTATATAAGTATGATCAATATCCTTTTGAAACTTCAGATATAAATGTTGAAATGACCCATGACAAGAAAATGTTGATGTGAGTTTTACATACACTGGGTCAGATGGGCCTGCTTTGACTTGGCTTGTTCAGTCGGGATTTCTTCATGCGGGGACACATGTTTTACCCGTAACATGCCCTACATGGTCATTTGTTTAGCCGAGCTGTAAACACCAGCGCAGAAAACCTTCATTCTTTTCACGATAGCATCAGAACAGTTTAATATAGCAGCTCTCCCTCTCCAAGTTTCCCTGGATGTGAACCAAGACGTTCTGACAAACACATATTAAATAATGCACCGTGACACTGCAGTGGATGAGTGTTTGGAAAATGGATATATATACAATAATCCTCCAGAGTGAATATCGAGAAAACGATCACAGATCACTTATGTTCCCACCCTTGTGTGACCATGGGGGGACTTGGCCTAAAGACCCCCCCCTAGCAGTACGTACTGGAAGTGCTGTGTGGTCCCAGGTGCATGAGGAACTTCCCAAACCTCAAACACTTCAGGGACGCCAACGAAAGGCTTCATGGCATCAGCTGTGCCCAAAGTGAAATTAGTGCCCAGTAATGAATGACATTCGGAGAGCGCTTTCTGAACGATCAACCGAAGCAGGTGATGTCACAAAGAGAAACTTCCAGAAGCAGGTAAATAAAGAAGGTGGGAATGGAAAAGCTGCTTCGGTGTTGCTCCTTATGTCATACTTATGGGGTCATGCTGAGTGGTTTAACATAGGCAGTCTCCGGCAAATGCTCTTCCTGGATTCGATCTGATTTTTGCAATCGAGAACAGATAACTCTTAGTTCTTGTCCTGTAATTATTTTTATTGTCGCTGCTATCATTTTGACAGTAATTGCTGTCGTAAGTGTCCCTGTAGCTGCGGTGGGGTTTGCTACACAGATGAGGTCACCTGGGGGTGGGGGGGGGCAGCTTTCTGCATGTTACTGGGGGCTGACTCCTGCTTGGCCCCCGCACTAATCCAGCACAGATGCTGTGCAGGTTCTGTATCTTGAGGCAGGTGTGTGAGAGGGGGGGCATTTGGCTTTGTCCGTGGGCCAAATGACAGGATCCTATGCACACAACACTGCACAGCATTGAGGCAGAGAATCCAGTTTGCAATCACTGAAATAAAAACACATCAGACTGATCGTAGATTAAATATTGCCTTATAATTCCAGAAGAACATGTGTGATCACTGTAGATTACATCTCAGTAATTAAATGATATGTTATGTGGCATTTGTTTACATACAGGTATTTCTCTTTGCATATCCCGTCTTACTCTGACCGAAACATACAAACACTTACATGTATTAAGATGGTTATTAGATTACTAAATTAAATAGGCTATTGATTATCTGATTGTTACCTGGTTAAACATGTAATAAGTGATGTAACAATTTTGATTACTTCATCAAAGTAACTTATTACATCTGAATACTTTTTGATTACTTTTCCCCAAATGTTTTAAACTGCGCAGTAAAGCTGAGCATTTCTAGCAGCTTTGCTGACCTGCATTGTCTGGAAATATGCCAAAGAAAGCATTTATGAACAGTATAAAGATGCAAAATGACAAATAAATGTTATATTATACATATAAGCTTATTACCTAAAAGAATATTTTGGGATGTAACCCCTTTGTAATCACTAATATTTTAATTAGCAACTGTAACTTAATTACATCTTGTTTTCTCAGGAACTGTAACAGACTACAATTACATATTTTGTCATTTATTTACATAACACCTTTACATGTAACTAGTTACTCCACAATACTATGTAAAGGCAAAGCTTGGCGTCCAAGCGCAGGGTCAGGCCATTAATCTGGGGCCCCTGGAGCAGTTTCTGGGGGTGTTAAGGGCTTTGCTTTGGGGCCCAATGTCAATATAACTATTCTGCCAAGTCTGGGATCACACTGCTCCATCACACTGCTGAAATTGATTAGGGTATTTGACAACAGAATTATGCCCGACTCCAGATCAGCGATAAAGCAGTCTACAGGGCTGTGTGAAATCATTATTCTGTCTCTTTCCTTTTATGTAGGTTAAGCCCAACTGGTTCCAGTTGTTGCTATTCACAAGTTCTGGTGCACCTCTGCCCCCTAGTGGCAGCTTGGTACTACTGCACAGTCAACCCCTTATAAGGGTGTCAAAAAACAGATCTTCAGGAATACCTTCAGTGCAGAAGCTAAATAGTCATACACTGTTAAAACAGTGAGGGACAGTGGAAAGAGTCAGAAGAACCGCTGACTGGGTCAAGGAATCTTTTGTAATCATTGCTGCTCTTGCCAAGGCAGAATCCCTGTAGACTTCGAGGTCCCGTGGGTCATTGGCCTACAGCAGACCGGTAACTGTGAGACGGTTTTCATTTCCAGTAACAAAATGCAACAAAAAGCAATGAATGACAATGCTGCAATGAGGAAAAGGTGACGATTCCTAACATAGGCCGACATTGACTCGGATAACAGGAATAAAAGTCCTGGCCAGGATTAAATATAGATAAAAATAAGTAAGTAAATAAACATGCATAGTGGTATTTTGTAAGGTCATGTCTCTGGGCCAGGTGATGTATTCCCTGCTTTTTTGGGGGATTCCTTTTTACCCAGAATGCCCCGGGGTGGCCGCTGACGTTGACGTCATCTGCCCTCATCCCACTCCCTTGAAATCCTTCACTCTTCCTCCTCTGTCTGCTTCTCTCGTCTTTCCCGCTTTTGGTCTTCGCTCTTCATGTGCCCACAGCTTGCCGGTGACGTGCCCGAGTGGGGGGTCGCTTCAGGGGGCGGGGCTGGAGCCGCCAGGCCGGCACACCCGCCTCAAGATCTCTTGTTTGTGTCGCTTGTTGCTATGCAGCAGTGTCAATGACGTGCTGAAAGCCTGGGGGGGGGGGGGGGGATTAAGATGTGAAAGTGCAAAAACTAGGCTGGGCTTCACTGTAATAAATGCTTCCTGTCTCTCTCTATCTCTCTCTCCCTCCATAGTTCATCCATGATGAGAAGGTCTCCTGGTATGTAGCTGTTCTTTCTCTTGTGGCATGTTGCTGAGAAGAGCACAATGATGATCTTTGCTTGTCTGTGCTTCTTTTGGGGGGGGGGGAGCTAGGAATGGAGATTAAAATTTGACCCAGGACTTTGGGGTGACCCATGATACATTTTGCCAGCCCTGTAACCCATCAGGCCACTGGGAAAGCGCTCAGTGCACCAGTTGGCTACTCCAGTCCTGGGCCTAGCTCCTTAGATGGTCCCGTACTGTCAGACCAGGGTGTGTGCAATGTCCCTGAAGACGATGAGGCTCCCCCGTCCTCCAATCACCCCCGGGATGTGGCTGACTGACATACTGTGTCATGCACACTGCAGAAGGGGTGTTCACCAGGGGTGGGGGGCGGCGTGTCTGCTGTTGCAGGTGGGAGTCCCTGGTCTTGGTTGTGATGTACCTGGTTTACATTCTGATGATGAAGTAAGTACCCACCCCACCGTATCAGATATACCAAACACCACGGGTTTATAAACATGCTGAACATACAGTATTTGGAAATATCAGACAGATGTATCACCTGCATTCCCACCCAGTGTGGGAGGAGGGGGGGGGCTCGCTAACCTGTCATCTGTGGTGCTGCTGGCCTGCGTGTGCATGTGTGTGCGTGTATATGTGTGCGTACATGTTTGTGTTTGTGTGTGTGTGTGTGTGTGTGTGTGTGCAGGTTCAACTCCCGTGCTCACCGCTATTTTGAGAGGCGGAAGAGGAGCACAGTGAACCTGGCCAACGGGATGACCAGCAACCCGGACATTGACGAGGCCGGCTGTGATGCCACTGCAGTGCTGCTCAAGAAAGGTACGCCCCCCCCAACTCTGGGACCCCCATCCAGGCACACGCACCCCAGTGTGTACTCAGAACTTGCCACCACCGCTGGTCATTTCAGCATCTGCCATAAAGCAGATAAGAAATACATTTAGACAGTTAGAAGTCACTTACACATGGACAATAACAATAGATAATAGGCAGCAATAAAGACAAATAAAGAGTGTAGAAATCCAGATATTTCCACAATAAAATGTCTATATGTGATATCTGGAGTCATATTTGTTGTCTTTGTTTGTATCTGGCTGCTGGATCCTTCATTAATGTTGTTTTTTTTGGTGCCTTTTGTGGTTCAGCTCTGCTCCACGTCGGTCTGCCATCGCTCAACCAAAACCAACTAATACAACCACACGGGCGTCGGAATGCAGAGTATTATTTGTTGTGAGATGATGACATAGCTGGCTGCTAATTATAAACACCCCCCCCCCCCCACTACAGCTAACTTCCACTGTAGGCCCTCCGTGCTGATGGTGGACGAGCTCCTCTCGGCCTACCCCCACCAGCTGTCCTTCTCTGAGGCCGGCATGCGCATCATGATCACCAGCCACTTCTCCCCCCGCACACGCCTCACCATGGCCTCTCGCATGCTCATCATGGAGGTACGGGGGGGGGGGTGGTCCGATGTTCCGCAATAGTCTTTGCACTAAACCATTTTAAAGAGATGGCCACCATTATTATTTCTGACGAGATTATAGTAGCAAGCCGTTTTTGCTCATTTGGATTTAGTCTGATGTTTCCTGAAAGTTCCCATTCTTGGTCCAATACCTTGCTAAAGGTGCCACATGAGAATGCAAACCCTTGATGAGAAGGTGCCTTCATCAGCCAGTAAGAACCCCTGACCTGCGTAGATCTTCACAGATCTTTCTTACCCTGATGTGGGTCCACAGAGGCAGCGACTCAGCAACTGCAGGCCCATCAGTAATGGCGACTCGGAGGGCGTGGTCAGGGCCCTGGGCAGGCGAGGCCTGGAGAACGGCCTGAGCGGGCCAGAGAGGGGCTTCAACGGGCACGGAAAGCGGCAGGGCGAGGACGAGGGCGGCGGAGTGGAGGCCGGCAACGACACGGAGAACGAGGACAACGAGAACAACGAGAACGACGGGGAGGAGGAAGAGGAGGAGGAGGAAGATGACAACGAAGGACCTTTACAGCCTTTTCATGTCCCATGTAAGTTCCTCTCTGGTTTTCATGAAGACCAGCCTTGGGTGGCAGCTTGTTGACATACAACATGGATTGTTAGTTTGTTTAATTGGCTGATTGACACTCCGGGACCCGCCCTATGCTCCGCCCCCAGCCGGGGTCTGTAACAAGGTGAAGTGGGTGACGGCCTGGCCGCTCTGCCTGCTGCTGTTCTTCACCGTGCCCAACTGCGCCAACCCGCGCTGGGAGCGCTGGTTCATGGTGACCTTCGTCAACTCCACCATCTGGATCGCCTCCTTCTCCTACGTCATGGTGTGGATGGTGAGCACATGAGAGTCCATCCTTGAGAGCGCAGGTTCTACTCCCTCAGCAGTGACTCAGGCGTCTGGATAACCGACTGGTGTGTCGCTCTCGGATTGGGTTCTGAGCCCATCTCCGGAAGGTCGTGGGTTTCAATCCCATGTGCCTGCTGAGCAAATAGCTTCAGCAAGGCCGTTAATCCCAGCTGCTCCTGGAATGCTGACCGGCTCTGTTCTCTGACCTACATTTTTTGTCACTTGTATGTGGACAAAGGTGTCTGCTCCATAAATTAATGTACATTTGCAGAGATTCTGCAGGGACAAGTCGAATAGGGTCATCATCCTGCAGCTCTCCACTTCAGCTCTGCCCAAGTCCCAGCCCTCATTCTTTGTTTAATGCAGGCCACCACCCAACCTTTAGACCTGCTTCAGATGTCATATAATTTAGGGTAGGACCTGCTACCACCTCTGCCTTCAGGGTTGAGTTATTGTGCATTTTAAACTATTGTACCTCCTTCCATTTGTAACTTGCACCGCTGACCCAGGGAAACATTATCTCGTGCCACTTCATACTTGTATATGAAGGCTGTGACAATAAAGCCCAACTGGCTTAATTTAATGTATGCTGCTGTGTGCTGATGATGTGTCGTACAGATGGCTCTTCTTTGGGGGGGCGGGGCTAAGCGATATTGTGTCACCACAGGTGACTGTGATTGGCTACACGTTGGGCATCCCCGATGTCATCATGGGCATCACCTTCCTGGCAGCTGGCACCAGCGTCCCCGACTGCATGGCCAGCCTGATTGTGGCGCGTCAGGGTAGGGCCCGTCTCCCCCCCTTCCACGCCTCTCAAAGCCGACTTGGCGGCTTCGTACCGCGCCACCATTATCTGCCGCCCACGATCGCGGTGTCGAGATCAGGGAGTGTGCAAAGGTTTCAAAGTGGCTCGCATGCTGGGTGTTAGCGGGTGGGGGGGGGGCACAGCGCCTGAAGGGAAAAGGCCTGCCCGACCTGCACCTCTTCATGCTTGGTATGTCACGCAGGTATGAAATATTCATTCCAGAAGTGCTGTTAGAAGACGAGCTGGTTTTTCAACAGCGACTTTTCTCCTCTGTCAATACCGCGTGCTGTGTTAACACGGTCACCCTTCCCCCCTCCTTGCCCCAAGGTCTTGGCGACATGGCCGTCTCCAATTCCATTGGCAGCAATGTGTTTGACATCCTGATGGGGCTGGGCTTGCCCTGGGCGCTGCAAACCTTGGCCGTTGACTATGGATCCTATGTGAGTACTGTACCACAGTATGGTAGCTTGGCTCAACTCTGCCCTCTAGTGGCAACACATTACATTTACATCATGGTTATTTATTGGACACTTTTATGCAAAGCGATATCCAAAGGAGGTAGATACACCTTTAGGCTTTGGACAGAGGTGGGTAGTTCAGGTCCAGAGAGTAAAAGTTCAGACCAAGATTTTATTTCAACCAACCAACTGAGTACTCAGACTATACTCAACCCACCTCTAGCCTTGGATATGAATAGAACCTTATTAACTTAACTTCTAGTTAAATATAGTTAAAGCCATCTGTTTTATTTTGCGGTAGGTTCCTACTAAAGCTTTTTTGTCTAAAAAAAATTATGCCTGCCTTGTTACTTACATTATCATCTACTCATGATAATGTTCAAATGTCTTGTATGTAACATTAATCTTCCATTTAAAATGCTTCATTCGGGACCCAAAAGGATTATGTGTAAACTTATATCTTCTGACTATGACCATTTAAATCGCTCGCTAGCCTGGGCTAGACTGTATGGGGATAGCATAGCCCAGTTTGCATCTCCTGGATCCCTTTGTGACAGTGATGACGCAGCCACCCTGTGTACCTTTACGCATTTGATTGTTCGTTAGATTAGCCTTCTGTGTAGGGTGTCTGAGAGATGAGACACACGGAAGGCATTTCCGTCCCCACGCCCTCTAAATCTCTGCCCCGCAATCTCACCAAAAGGTCACGCTTTTAAACACACAATGCATTTAAAACAAACATTCCCATAACTAGAGTTTTTTAATCAAAGCTCAGCTGCTGATGACGTGTAAGTGTTAGTGCTTTTCTGGTCCACTGGGGGCAGCAGAGAGCTGAAAGACATCCGCACAGTTCCATTGGCTCTTATCAGATTTCTCCCCCCAATGAATAGCTAGCAAAAATGTACTTATAGCTTACTTATGTGCGTAGTTTCAGTATTTCTAACACGCCTTATTACTTACTCTTACTGTGTAATACCCTCAGTGGTCTACAAAGAGCGATGCTGCTGATTATCACTGTGTGTAACATTCTCTTAGGCTGCACTTACTTTGTGTGTTTTTATGCTTCCAGTCGCTTGAGCCAAAACCTATTAAATAAATGTGAATTGAAATTCCATCCATCCACCTTCCAGCTGTGTATTCAGGTCAGAGTCAGCAGGGGCCTGGAGCCAATCCCAGGCAGCATAAGGCGAAATAAGTCCAAATTTAATAATGTCATTTATTTGCTTACTAAACATTTAAATTTATAATGATCAGTTTTAGGTCAGTGTGGCTATTTTAAGAGTTCTGTGGCTAACCTACTGTTCTAATTAAAGGTCCTGAAAGGTTGGATTTAAATGCCAGTGTTTCCAAATCCACTCCTCGGGGATCCACAGATGATTCATGTTTTTGCTCCCTCCTAGCTGCCTGCCAGATAGTTCACATTTCTGCTCCCTCCCAGCTCTCGGTAGGAACAAAAATGTGAACTGGCAGGTCCCTGAGGACCGCATCGGGAAGCACTATCATCTGCACACATTCCTGCACACATTCCTCCCTTTCATTCTTTGCAGATTCATCTGAACAGCAAAGGACTCATCTTCTCTGTTGCCCTGCTGCTGGCTTCCGTTTTCCTCACCGTGAGTACAGACCCCGCGCGGCACGGAAAGGGCCCGGCATCCTGCGGGCGAGTGCTGTTCGGTTAGCTTAAGAACAAGGCCAACATACCGCGCAATGCGATTTACCGGGAGTTGGGGGCAAGGGGAAGAGACACCAGCTGGCAGACATGCACTCTGGATGTGATGCCTTTCTACTGCAGGGCAGCAACTTCAAACACACACGACCAAACACTAGAAGCGAGAGACACCAGTTATGTCTTTAGACTGGGGGAGGAAGCAGGGGGGAGATGCAAGCTCCACCCACACAGGGACCTAAACCCCCAGCCCTGACGGTGTGAGGCGACAACATGGCTCACTGACTCACCCTGCTACCTGTTAGTTACATAAGGGTTAATGCACTCCAAGCCGTGCGTTATACGCTCTTAATTAAACACATATCTGCAGAGGCAATGAACTGTCCGACAGGCAGCAGAGTGCGTTTAAAAACATAATACACAGCTCAGAGTGCATTAACCCTCTTATACCACAGTCACCCCCCATTTGCCTTATACTTTTGTACCTAAAGACATTTTTTTTCTCGTTCACAAGCTGAAAACACATTCATTAGTAAAACTACTTTCTTCCGTCGACGAGTAAACATTTAGAATTACTTTACATTAACTTTGTTCTACATTTGGAATTTTAAATCAACATTAGTTAGAATGAAATATTTTGATAGCGCATTGGTTTACGACAGTGATGGCCGACACTACACTCCCAGTCAAAGAAAAATAACTGGCACCCCATCTAACCAATCGGATCTGAGAATTCAACAGCATTGTGGTTATAGATCGTATTAGTGAATAATCAGCATGGCACGCCTGCAAAAAGATTTAGTGCATAGTGATAGAGGATGAAGAGCATCACCCCCCCTTCTCTGCCCAGGTTCTGGGTGTGCACCTCAACAAATGGACCCTGGACCGTCGACTGGGCATCATGTGCATGCTGATGTACGCTGTCTTCCTGTGCTTTTCCATCCTCATCGAGTTCAACGTCTTTATCTTCGTCAACCTGCCAATGTGTCGCGAGGTTCTGATCTGAAGGTTGACGGGCCGCCCCCTCCTCCAGCCCCGCCCCCCGATCCAGGAAGATGGCTGCCCGCATCTAAGTACCGGCAACGCGGATCTTCTGTTGTGTTTATTTGTGTTACTTTAAGTGATCTGGGATTAATCCTCGGTGCAATATGACCAGAAGTCCGCCCCCTGGTGGGCGAAAGGAGAATGGCGGGTGCAGGAAACAGGAGTCTGAGGAGTCAAACCACACAGGAGGATGACATTACCTCCACTAACTCCTGCTTCGGTGTGGACTGAAACATTTTAGAATTTTGTATGGATGGAACTTTCTTACTGCAATCATCACAACTATATTTTGCAATTAGATTTTTTTTGTAGGCTGCTAACTGGTTGAGGAAAACTCAGTCTGAACATAATGGTATACTTGATTATTATGACGAGTAAGATATACAGGATGACAGTGACTTTTTCAATAGTATGGTTTATTATTATCATTATTTTTGTCAGTAGGTCACGTTTGTGACAGTATGAAAGGTACAGGTGACCTGATACAAATATTTCTAGACAGCGTCAGTGTGTCTAAAGTAGCCCTTTGGCGCCCTCTTCCTGTTAACCGCAGCATTGCAGCCTTCCAACTGAGCTAAGCTCCCGCAGCAGGTGAGCCAGGTTAGTTGGTGCATCCTGGGTAATGGTGTGACACTGGTTGGATGGCTCACTTGAGGCTAGCTGGCTGCAGCCAGGGCGTGGTTTCCGAGGCAACCAACGCTGCTGTTCAAAATGCAGCTGTACAGGGCAGCATTGACTCTAAATGTTTGCCAGTAGCCTGGCTGTAACAAACTGTCATGGCCAGTAATGTAGATTTGTAGTTTCCTTTTTGGTTTTGCTCTCCTCTCTTAGCCTTGCTATGAGGCACAGTATTTATTAATTTATTAAAAACTATTTATGTCCTTGATCTCGCTTGTTTTTTTTTCCCCCTAAAGTAACCAGTCCCCTCTGAAAGCTGTCCCAAAGACGAGATCTCTCTGCAGTTTAAGTCTCGCACTGTCACTTTATTGTACAGAGGTTTTTATGCAACGGATTTGTAGGACATGGCTTGTGACGTCCCTGTTTCTGCCTGTATAATAACTCTTTTAACCTTTATGACGTTTCACTAGCATCCAGATTCTCTGCTGTCTGTAACTCTGGACTGTGGCACACTACTTTTTCCAAAACACGTCTGCAGAAAGGAGAGTAAGTCTATGATGTAATACAAGCTGCCAGGCATTAACTAGTATCTCTGCCCGGCAACCAGTATCTGTTAAATAGCATCTCAGCGGGAGTGGTACCCGGGAGTACCCGTTCATGGGTGCTTGCCCCCCCTTTGCAGAGATAGACCTGCTTGAAGAACTAGTCAGAATCTCTGCCTGCTTTCGAACAGGATTCCTCTTCTTTTTAAGTTCAGCGCTCCAGGGACTAATATTGTACTGCAAAAGTACAATATTCAGATTCACATTTTCCTAGACTGCTGGTCTCCTATCGCTCTGTCTTTTTTAGGATTAAATGATTTTTAGTGAAAGAATATGTATTATGTATTGTTATAAAGCATATCTAGGAATATAATTCATGTTTGGTGAATTGTCTAGATTATTGGCACATTATTGGGGAATGTCGTAAAAGCTGTCAGTAGAAATTACAAGTATTTCTGTGAATAATTGTTTTAAATTTTAAAAAAATTGTTGCCATTTGATAATGAAAAATTAGAAGTACTTTCTGCTGATATGTAGTTTTTGCTTTTAAAACAATTACCCTCTGCTCTCCTGTTATAGAATGTAAACACTTGATTCATACATTTGCTTCTCATGCATGATTACCATAAGTTAACTTTTGCTTGGAGAGTCATCAAAACTATTCCTTAATAATTTTCCCCCATGCAAAATGCAAAACTGATCCAGAACAAGTTTTAATAGCATGTTATTAATCTTGTAAGTCAAAATATGTCCTGTCAACTAAGAAGAAAAATAAGTAAGGATCAGCATGAAAATATGGCCATTGAAATAAACCCAAGAGCAATATCCTACATATCACCTGATAAACACAGGCATTGCGTACATTTGATAAGTAACCTTTAACCTACATGCAATATGTCATTATAAATCATAGTGGTTAGCAATAATTTATGTATACTAAAAGACATTGCCAAAATAAATATACAATAATTTACCTGGTCCATATACTAATCAACTGGGACTTTTTGCCCCCAATATTACCATGGAAATCGATACATTAGCCTAAGACTTAATATTCTTCATTAAATCAATTACAGTTATATAATGTACTAGTTAACTAACACTCATCTGTTTTGCCTCCAGAGGGCAGTGTGGTTGCGCAGTGGTTAGCAGAGTTACGTCACGCTCCTGGCTAGACTCGAGTGCGTTTTTCATCATCTCGCTCTGTCACCGTAGGCTTCCACCAGTTTCCCCCCACAGTCCAAAAACATGCTAAGGTGAATTTGAGTTGCTAAATTGCCTGTAGGTGTGAATGGTGCGCGTGCCCTGCTATGGGTTGGTGCCCCATCCTGGGTTATTTCCGGCCTTGCACCTGTACTTTCCAGGATAGGCTCTGGACCCTCGTGGCCCTGAATAAGACAATCAGATACAGAAAATGGATGTCTGCATCCAATTTCTCTCTACTAGAGCTCATCCAGAACCTTGGCTTTGAATTACCTCTCCATTTTTTGCAAAAGTGGTCTTTCCTCCGATTTACAGTGTTTTCAAACACACGCATCTAAAACTTTAATTCATATTAACATTTCTTGGATAACTAAATATTATTGCTGTTAACACAGGGGACAGCACAGCTTAACAATGAACATAAAAGCAAAAACTGCTCTCAGATCAGCTAATTTGTGTGGCACTGTGCGAAACAGTGTATGTGCATTTTAGACTTAGACCAGTAGGGGTCAGTGCAGTACCGTGTATTGTATGGATTAACCGTAGGTTGCATTATTGTTTTGGATTGTCATAGAATAGGTTTACGTTTGTGTACAATGCATTTCGATACTCGTATAAGTGCGTGTGAAGCACAACAGATTTAATTTTTTGAGGGATTGTTTTCTTACGTGTAGACTTGTCTTGAATCCAGTATAATACAGTGCCGGGAACTCGGCTTTGACGCAGCTGTTCATAGCTGGATTTAAACAAGTTGGACTGAACACTGACAGTACGCTATGTGTATGATGGCACTGAATTTCGTTATATATAAATATATGTACATATAAACGTATATACATATATAGACTTAATCTGTATATTTTTGCTATTCCGTTTTCTTCAGAATGATCCTCATAATTCTTTCCTTGTCGGTTCTGCTAGATTGAGCAGTTGTGCGGATTTTGTGGTGACTCGCCTTTTTAGTCAGTAGAAATGAAAATCAGAAGACAGCAATAGCTTGCGGGTATTTGGCCTGCCGATGTTCAGCATTGAATCTAATCGGATGTATCACCACATGTCTTCTGCTATATTGAACATGTATGCGTCTCATGGCACCTGAATTTTAAGGAGGTCGTCTTAATCACTAGGCTTTCCATTCCTAGGCCCGATGAGGTCCTGTGGGCTTAAGGGTTGCAAATGTAAACTTTGCGAAATGTAATTAAGGAAATGACTGATGATAAACAGTCAGACTAAATATCAGCGAGACACGGCAATTAGGTGGAAGTTATGCAACAAGGAAGTTTTTTTAAGGATGAGGGTACACACAGCAGCATGAGGACAGGCTAAGGAATGCCACAGTGTATCCAAACGTCCTTTTTAGACGGGTATAGAACTCACTGCTTTATTTACCTCTATCAGGTCACTCAATTATTCACAAATATATAGCAAATTGGCTTTTCAGAGATACTAGTTAAGGACACTCAATAAATATTAACAATTATAGGGATATGGGAGAATGACTTACAAGCCTGATCTTCCTGCATGCTATATGTAACGACTAGGATTGACTTGAGTTAAAGCCAATTATGTTTTATTTCTCATTACTTATGCAGGTTTTGCTGTTTACCTTGTACAATTTTTGTTTTAAGATGCTGAAAGATTTTCAGTAGGCCTAATATTTTTAATTACTCTAAGTAGCCTACTACTACAAGTAAGGACGCTTACGTTGAACACATTTGTTCATCAACGTGGCTGTGGTGTAATTTGAGACTTTTCAGTTTAAATTCTGAAACTGAATATTGCCTTCATTGCAAGAATTTTGATACAGATCACTTTTTTTGACAATGATTCATTTTAAACGCACAGTCAGTTTCAGGAACCATGTAAAATAAAGATTCGTATGCATTTGTAATATTCTTTGGAAACAACGTATTTTTGACAACAAGGAAGCATTGGGGGTTGGTTTGACTCGCAGTGTTTATACTTTGAAAAGCATCTATCCGTACTAAAGCGAATAAGCCAGCCTTCTCTCACCTGTGCCACCAGGTAGGACTTGATTCAGAGCCGCAGTTTATGTCCTGAGGTGGGACTGTGGTTTAGGGACAGATCGGCTCATGATGGAAATGTGTCCTTTGCTGGGTCATGCGCTGCTTGTGTGGTATTTTCACCTCGTGTGAAATCCAGCAGCCAACTGTATGGAGATTGTCAGGAAGTCTGAAGGACATCTAATTAACTTATGAGGTTGCGCATGTCATACACTTTACCCTGGTAAACTTTAAGCAGGGTGCATACTCTTCCAGAGTTTAGTGGACTTTACATGAGTATTCAGGGCTCATTTGTATGGTATCTGACAGGTGTTTGAGGAAATTCTGCAGCCATTTTTTCACCGGAACAGAGAACTTTTAGCTTTTTGGTGTTGCTCCTTTTGTATTTAATCCCAGGTTCAAATTGAAAAATGTACCATAGTATGTATTTTATAGAAAGTCTGGTTCTTGCAAAGATTTCTTTTAAGAGATTTATATGTTGAATCCAGCATTTTACGCAAATGTATTTGCGGAGCACAAGGGAACAGAGTATAAAATGTAAGTGCATGTTTTATGTTGAAAAACGTTATGTTTGTGTATATATTTTAGGAACTTTAACAATGGAGATATTTGATGATGTATATATCTGAAATATATAAGACATGAGATAAGAATGTCATAGAAATGTCTGAATAAAAGCATTTTAAAGAAATATCTAGAATGTCAGTAAATTGATAGTTTTGAATAATCCGATGTAATTTTAATCTTCGTTTCTTTGCAACTGTGAAAGATTGGGGATTGTTTGTGAATCTTAAACATCTCGAAGACTCCTGATAAGATGTGTTTCACATCGATGCACAGATATTTTGTTCTTCTCAGCAGTCTTCTGGCAATAAAACCGATGTATATACAGGCCTGAGCTGTTTCTTTTTGTAAAGCTATTCAGTAGCACTAAGCTTAGCGAGTGTCACTGATGTTTATCCTGAATAAACAGTGATAAGACACAGTCGGACTGGAGTCTCTCACAGGGAGCAAGACAGGTGTTGCGCGATGTCTTTCACACGTGTGAATCATCGCGTGACTCTTTCTCTCGATGTGTGTTTTTCTTTACTGTTTACCCTGAGCAGGGTCATGATGAATCTGCAGCCCATACCAAGAAACTCAGGGCACGAAGCTGGACGTAAACTGGATGGGGTTCCACCCCATCACAGGGCTCACACTCACAAATGCACATTTTTGGAAAAACAGGACAGCATCCTTTAACTGTAAGACAAAACATAAATACATTACTGCCCATGGGTAGTTAATATATGCTTCTGAAATCAACTGTCTGGACACATTAACAGTACAGAAATAAAAATGACTGTAGACGGTGCATCGCACAATTAAGATAAAATCATAATTGCAGATAAATACTCCATGAAATACATGAATACAACCCTTTGACATTTACATCTCAATAGGCTATATCTAGGTTTGGAAGCATTCCTTTGGCATGCTTTACAGTCCAGGAAACCATCTGGGAAAGTCTGAATCAAAGTGATGTGTTGGTATAACTAAAAAAAAGTCCTATCCACATCTACACCATCTGACTTCATATTCCCCCATTTTTGTCAGTTAGCTGGGTTCACTTAAATCGGCAGTCTGCTGTAGGAACTTTCTACACCCAAACCTGTTGTAGATCGCCCTGGGGCTTCAAGCGTGACGTCAAGAGTGACGTCAAGCAGATTCTCTGCAGCAAGTCCACCACACCTCCCAGGAAATCCTGGTTGTCCGGATCCGCCGACCAGGGAAGCACTGGCTTGCCGGTAGTCTGATTAACCGGTGTTTGTCATCGGTGGCCTCGCCCTTTCCAGCTGAGGCCATGAAGCACTTAACTGGCATTCCTATTTAATTGTTTCTGGTACGGCCATCAGATGCGAGATCTTCATAACTTGCTGAGAGTTTGAGCATTATCTCCTATGTGCCCTTGTCCCACCTACTTGTCAGCCTATGTTCAAGATCCAGACTCTGCTCTTTCTGACACCAAGTTCTGTGTAGCCCAGCAATCGTCTGCATACATCGTTTGACATCCAGCATGTCCACCAACTCCAAGACCTGCCCAGCCCCAGACTGCCAACGCTAATTTCCCTGACTTTTGCCCCTCCAATGACCACACGCTCGGATCAAGAATTGCATTTTGCTGATCTATCTGGATTGAAGAAAAATAAACCCTTTTCCTTACCCGATACGCACCAGTGTCGTCCTTTTCGCGATACCCAGTACTCACCAGTACACAGTACTGATAGCTCTTTGTTTTTCACTTTAGAGTACAGAATAACAAGGGCAGTACCATCACCTGGTAATGAATAAGGGATGTAACTGCAGCTATTTTCGCTAGTTAAAGCACTGATCCAAAGCAAAACAATGTGAAACTTATTTTAATTTTTGTAAACATGTAGGCTATAGTTCTGCTACAATGATATGGCGATGAAAATATTATTGCAACTCAAAGGTAGATATGCATAATTCAACAAAAAGCATTTGACGTTAAGATTGATGGTGTTAATCATTTTTTGTTGAAATGATGTTTTAGTTTACTAAGAAATTTTAAGTGAACTGACGGAGTTTGGGAAACACAACGATCCGCGGTCATCTTTGTGCACAACCAAGGAACCTACGGTCATTGCTCCGCTCCAGAAATATCCAAAAAGCCTTGTGTCTATTTAGATTCTCTCAGTGAAAGACAGGCCTACGAGAATGGTGATCTCAGTCAGGGGTGCCGCTAGAGATTTTGGGTCCCCTGAAGGCATATCATATTGGGCCCCCAACCCAGATCAATCGAACTATGTTCCAGATTTTTTAGGGCCGCAGTCACTAAGGGGCCCTTGGAATCATTGTAACTTTCCCCCACTGTACGGTGCTCCTGATCTCAGTATATGGGAAGATCAGCCAAGACCTACTGACCGTGACATAATCAGTTTTTTTATTTGTCAACCTTTGGAAAATACTATGTTATTAATTTGACAAAGGAAGTACATTGTTTAATATCCTTGCGTGTTGTGTAATTCTTAGGTAAAAGAATTAAGCACTATTTTATAGATCTTATTTTTATGCAACACTCTAATTCAAAATGAATAGGCCCTATAGTAAAGGCATATGGTTGATATTTTAAAACAATTAAACATACAAGCAATTTCTCAAAGCTGAAAAGACATCACTTTCCCTTGGCATTATGAAGGAACAGTCATTGGTGAAGGGCAGTCTGAGGCACTGCAAACAAAATTAAGTGTGTGAAGAGATTGACCTGCCAGACCGGCCAATGGAAGGAACTGAGGTGTGGAAAAAACTGGTAAGCTTCTGTTTTTGACCAGACGTTACTTCACATGTTACTCCTATTAAGATGAATTTGACATTATTTAAACCACCCCTCTCTCTTCCTCTGACTCTGATTGTTGATGGAATTTAGATGTAATCTATCAGTTTTTCCTATGAGACGTTTACAGTTTCCACTTTAAAAATGAGACGCGGAAGACTGCTTTAATTCACACTAACCCAACAAATGGTATACTGCTCCTTTGTTATCGTTTGTGAGTACTGTCAAATAACTATTTTTGTGGATTTGTATGCCTTTGATTTATGTTATGTTGTAGTTTATTGCACAGTTTCAATTATTCATTTCGTGTTTTTAACACAAAACCATGTAGTTGCAAGTCGACTGCTTTTTTTGTGCTGAAATTTATGCAGTGGTCATTATTTTCATTGCCCTTATTTTCAAAGAATTTCCTTAAATAAATATTCATAATGTAGTTATTCAAGTTGTGATTATGATTAAATCCCTGTTGTCAACGCTCTTCCTCAATTTCTCATTTTTCGTTTTGTTATGGAAATTGTCCTTAATTCACCTACTTAGGCTGTGAATTTCCTCAGACGTTTTCATTGGCTTTGAGTTACTATTGATTTCTCATATTAAATTCCGTCCATGCTCGATTGCTCCTGGGATATGATTACTGCCATCTAGGAAACGTTTCATACCTCAGAGACTGAGAATTTGGCGTACTCACAGCATCTTAAGGTTTGGTGAATAGTGGTCTGTATTAGTGAATTTGATGGGCATGCAACAATAAAAAAAGTCTGGCGTATTGTCAAACATTGCTCTTATTTGATTCACAGACAAGTTAATCAGACAGGCAAAAACAGTATTCATCTCTTACAAACAGGTCATTTCTTTGTTTCGGTGCCTTTCAACAATAACTTTGAACCAAGCATAACGTTAAACTATTCTCTATTCCCACTTCCATCGACTGGGACCCCGGACTTGGACTCGCCGGACAGCCGATCGGTACCCGCACCAGCTGCCCTTTTGCGGGACATTCCACAGGCGGTCACGTGACAGCGGAGTGCTGGAACAGCGCCGCCCGGCGTCCAGTCGTCTCACTGCTTCTCTCTCCGCATCGGTCGGAGGGAGGCGAAGAATCTCCGATTATATTTGCGGAGGAACTGCGGAACACAAGCAACACTTGTACCCTCCTCACACCGAGCGGGACGTCTGGGCAGGTGGGCGCCATCTCATGCCTGCTGGTCTGCGGATCCCTTCACCTTGGCAGCCAACGTGACAGGTTAGGCTTATTGCATTTACTGCGGTCTTTGTTTTTTTAATCAAGCACCGTAAATTTAAGTAAACTGAGGAACGAGGATGCTTTTTACTCATAGCGTAGTAATGCAGTTTGGTTACTGCGTAACGCTGGAAATGTTTACGGATCCTTTTCGTGGAATACATCAAAGATTATGATGACATAGCCTACTCGGACTTCTGGTGTAACTAGTTTAAATCGCTTTTAGCTAGAAGGCAACTTGTTAAATTGTGGTGATTCAGCGCGCGACACAGCTGTAGTACGATGGATCTTTTCGGTTAGGATATTCTCCCTATAACCAACTACCTGCTTTTCCCGAACAAAGTACTTCTCAAGTAAGTGTTTCGGATGTCTTTTAATTCGACCTTTTGAGAATTGACCCTTTTGTTGTGTCTTGAATCTACTCCTGTTAACCGAGAGTCCGTAGCTATGCTGTTTATGCCAGATAGTGCCTTCGTGTGCCTGCGTGTCTTTGTTTTCTGTTTTTTTTTCTTCCTTTTTTCTGAACATGTACTTATGTTTTTAACTTCCTAAGACAGCTTTCTAGTTGGGTTAGTTAAACGTTCTGTTAAACAACCGTAGCTATGCACCGCGAAGAATCGTGAGAAATTGGCTGCATTTCATTGTTACACATTTAACATTAACAAGTAGACATGTAAACAATTGCAACTGTTGGGTCTAGTGGGAATTTTGGGTTTATTTTTGTTGCTTTTGTTGAACCATCAATGTTTTTGTACGGGATACACATTCACATGAGGTCCAAGTAACTCGGTTTTATTCAGACAAGAAAAACGCGTCGGACCGGTGCAATAGCGCGGCGTGTAATACGGATTCCGGTAAGAAGCAGCAGACAATACGATGACAGCGGTGTCCCTCGGATTCCTGACTTTTTCCGGGGTCATGTACTCTGACTGCTGTGATGTACAACAGTGTACTTGGTACTTAAAGTTCCCTTCTGGTGTCTCCCATTAATTGAATTATGTGGTTAACTTAGTGTTCTGTTTATATTCTGTGATAGTATAGTGGGCTAAAATAAACAAACAGCTTTTTCTCTTTTCCTCATTTTTCCTACGTCTTCTGATATGGCTGGGATTTATTTATTTATTGCAATGGATAACAAAAATTTTCCAGCTGGTGAATAAAATTCCTCTCATCTCACATTATCTCGCTTTATGTCACATCAATTGGAGCACATGTGGCAGCTTAGGCAGCTTCATTCTTGGCCCCCCTGACATGACAGTGAAATTAGTTTGCTGAGTGGGTGTCCCCTCAGAAGACGGTGCTCTAGGTTGCTCCCACG